TTATTAAAGACGGGAATATAAGAACACACAAACACTTGCCAGTAAAGACATTCTGTGTTTGACATATCAGGACCGTTAACAAAGCCATAGTGTAATACCACTACAGGGGATTCTCGTCATGATAAACAAAAGAAACAGCAGCCAATTCATGAGGTACTACCTTTGTCGCTGTCGCTTGCTTTTCTCTTTCGTCCAGAGAATTTCTTGGTAGATTTTTTGAACAGAAAAGTGCAAGGACCCGCTTTTGGCTCTTCAGACTCCGCCATCTTGCCTTCAGTATATAAATAACGGCTGTCACCACAGCGCCCTCTAGTGTCGTGGAGTCTTGGCTCGTGCCCTCCTGCTGGTGAAGAAGAGAATCACTACTGTCTAATTCATTCAGCAACTAAAACATATTCTAAATATTAATACGTTAAGCAAATTCAGTTTTCTGTGAATTATATGTACTTTTACTCATAGAAGACACACACACGGTTTATGATACCTTTACATTCAGTTTATCCAGAGTCAGAACAACGTTTATTGCGAAGTGGTGTTGCAATAGTATGAGATTTTCATGGTACAAAAACTGTCTCAGGAGATATTGCGGTTTCACGTTATCATCATTATTATTATTATTATTATTATTATTATTATTATATAGTATTATTATTATTATTATTATTATTATTATATAGAATGACCCTTAAAGGAATGAAAATGGAAGGGTTATCTTGGGTTGAACACATGTTTTATTGTGTTAAAACTCTCCCCTTTGAAAATAACCAAAATAAAGGTAAGCTCCTCCATCAAGTTGCATTTTTCCCCCAGTATTGTAGGCAAGCAAATATACATGGTACGCTCTAAAAAGGATTCATGGGGTTAGTGGTGGTTTGTAGATAATGCTTATGTTATGTATGTTTTAGTCGGCTGACAACTTATTTTAAGAAGTTGGTCAAAATGTGGTGAGTTGGATGGAATTTACAGGTGAAGAGAGAGGAGGAGCGCACACCGGGGTTGGGGGTAAACCCTGATGAAGACGGTCTAGTCGAAACGTTGGTACTTGAATAAAAGAAAATATTTTTGCATCAAGTCTTAGAGTGTGCGCCTGACATCTTTTTTCAGAGTTGGATAGAATTACAATAAATAAGTTGGAATATCTTAAATAAAATAGTTTGACCACTTAATATCACCACAAATTTTGGATACATATTAAGTTAGTTCAACTAAATTAAGCTTTTTCAGGTCAAAGCAAATAATGTTGGTTGTACTTAACTAACTGAGTTTGTCAGATTATAAAAGACTCATAGGATTCACTCAGAAATGCCAGCTTTGGAACTACTTCAAAAGATCAATGCAGATTATTTTCTTTTTTTTCTTTTAGAAGTTGAACCAGTGTATTTTCATATCACGCTATACCTTGACACAGTTATACTACTGCTACCCTACTGCCAAGCAGGTGTTCACTTCAAAGGAACTTGCCTTGGTTTTTAGTGCAAGCAATAAACATACTAAGAGGAAATAACTGCAAAGGCAATGTACATCAAGAATCAAAAACATAAATATATAATAGGAAAATTACAAAATGTATTATTAATTTTGCAACAATTGTACACCTGTCTACCAAAGATATATATTGTTATTTATATTTGTACATGTTATATTTTATGCCAATATTTTAACCCCTGCAGTACTTTTTTCCCCCTTTTGATTAATATTTCATTGGTATTGTTGAGATCTAAGATTTTGATTGACATTGACTGTCAGTACCTTGAAACTTGTCTATGATAGTGTACTGGTTATTGCTGTATTTTTTCCCCTCTGCCTGTGTGGTATGACATCATGTGCCAACACAGGTACTGGGTGTCTGCCATGTGTGCCCCCTCTTTAAACCAGTTTCACTTTGGGATAAGAAAGTTAATCAATCTAGTATCCATGTAGCCTTACAATGTCTTTTCATTTTTACATTTATTTAAAATGTGCCAAATAAGGGACAAAAAGACAAAAGTTTGCATATACATGTCAGCTCTAGAATTGTAACATAAAGCAAGGACAGTAGAAATAAAAAAATGAACTGTCATATAGGATAAAAAACATAGATTTCACAAAATATAAAATGTGCTTTATTTTTTCCCAGAAGAGAGTCTGTGTTCTGTGCTTCTCTGTCACCACAATTGTCAGAGACGCATTTAATTCATGTCCACGGGAATTGAAAAAAAAACTCTAAATTAGAAACTTCGTTGCTCTTGTTTTTGGAATAGTCTGTGATATTTTCCTATCTTAGGTGTTTGAGAGTGTTTTGAAGTTGTATTTATATCTTGAAAGTTATTTGATACGAGTATACAAAAGTACGTGAAGGCATCATTTCTCTCAGCTGTGCCAAGTGCATGACGTCCCCTGAATAAAACCGGAAATAAAGGTGGAAATAAAAGTACCATTATTTAACAATCAGCACAATGAAACTCAAATAAGTGAAAGCGATTTTATTTCGAAAGTACTGACCGGAACCTGTGCATTTAGTCATCTTTAACCTGACTCTGGCAGCCGCTGTTCTGTCCTGTCCTCCTCCTCCTCCTCCAGCAGCATCATCATCATCCGTGGCTCCCCGCAGAGGACAGCGGGTATTTGTAGGACACAAGGCCCGCGGAGGGAGGGGTCCTGGCCTGGGCACGGATCCCGAAGAGGCCCCGGGGCCGCCGCTGGATGGAGTCGGGCTGCATTCAGACAGCAATGGCTATGGGTCTGACATCGAAAAAGGCGTCTGCTCGGAGCGTCGGTGTGGAGCGGAAAAACCTCATCACGGTTTGCAGGTATACATCACGACACCGTCCATTTACAGCGTTATCTGCAAGTGCCAGTCCCTGCATGCTGCTCTGGTTATTTTAACCATCTGACCACAGAGGATGTTTATGTATACCTGGGGTGAAACAGGGGGCAGCAGCACACACAACGGATGAGAAATAATGCAGCATAATGGACATATTTATAGAAATGCTGTCTATGCAAAGGAGGCAGGTGCGTGTTCACCTTCACATACCCCTGCCATCACACCCCTTAGACCTGTTATATTCCCAACGGGTTCCTTTGCATTTCCTTCATGCACTGTGCTGTAACATTCCTTTAAAGATCATATTGGTATGGCATTTATTTAGGATCCCTCTAATATCTCTCACGGGAAAGTGTCTTTTATTTTTAACAGGTTGAGGCACCTGCTTGATTCCTGACTGTAGTGATAAATGCAGCTTGAAATAATAACAAATAGACTAGTGGGCTAATATTGTCTATAACAGAGCTGGAGAAAAAAATCCAACAGTCAATAGCAGGTTTCCTCCTCCATCACAGTGAGGTTGAGTGCCTGAATGGGACAAGGGCATTGGGAGCAGTGCAAGGACTCCTCCCCCCATCAGTGTCCCTCAGCCTACACAGTACAGCGAGTGCTGATGGACTGTGATGTGCCATGTCATAAATCATTGTCTTGTACAGCGATCAGAGAGGTTAGAGCTGTAAACGCATGTGCATCAGAGACTCACCTGATGGCATGTCTCTTAGATTGAGTGTTCAAATGTTACTGGGCAAGAAATGAGGCTTCTTCTACAGTGGTGTCGTTTGTATGCACATGATTGACATTTTAAGACATCTATTGTGTAGCTCAGTATGATCTAAGTCAGCAGTGAAGGAATGTCTACTTTTAACCTCTAATCGCTGGTTGAGGCGGTAGTGTGGACACGAATAGTGAGTCCTTTGACCAAGAGTGATTTTTTTTAACTCTGTTTGAATGATTTTCAATGACCCAGAGGACGTGAATGTATCCAGTACTTTACAAGAAAAAAGGAAACTATTACATAAAGTCAGAAATAGGAAATAGGATAAATATGTATATTTCCATTTTTTTTCTTCTTCTCTCTTAATCATCTTGGCTTGGGACCCACAGATTTAGTTTGTGACCCCCTCAGGTTGGGAACCCCTGATCTTAAAAGCCTGTTTGCAGTCTAATATAAAATTGACTTCACTTAAAATCTATTGTAGTATTTGAAATTAAACCTTTATTGGCCCAAGGGGAATTTGCTTTGCACAACTGAGTGTAAACCGTATCAAAAACACATCAACAACAACACATAAATGTTCTTTTTGGAATGAAACTCTCTGAAAGACTTGAAATATGATATTAGTTATGAATCTCTTCCTGTTTTATGGTGTTTTAGTCAAGTATAAATAAAATATACATACATTACTGTTTTGCTTTGATAATCCAGTTTCAATCTTAAATTGATTATAGTTTTCTTAACAGGGATACAGAGCAGCTGTTATGTTTTGAGGACATCCCTTAGACATTATCTAAAGGATTACCATAGATATTGAACTGCAAATAAACTGCATCCATTATTGGTACCCCAGAAAATACATATCCATCATTACTGTGTCAGTGTTGGACTTGGAAGTGTCTTAATTCATGTTGCTACAATTCTCCAACTCTGCCTGAATATGTGTCTTTAATGTTGGAACTGCAACAATTAATTTCATTATCAGTCAATCTGCATCTTATTTCCTTGATTAATTGCTAAATTAAAATTTTTTAGTCTATAAAATGTAAAAAAAAAAAAAAACACAGAAAAGTATTTATCCTCATAGAGCCTGAGGTAATATCTTCAAAAGCTGAAAGAGCTATTTTAGTGACCTTATCTAGCTTTATAGTATTTTTATATTCCGCGCCATCACCAGAGATTTGTAGGAAAATCACTGCTGTGCTTTGATACTTTTATAGTGCTCTAGTAGAATTTATTATAGCATTACTACGGGTCTTGAATTGCAAATTGACTCTAGTCATAAATGGTGTTGCAAACAGGAACATCATTATTTGTGTAGAGCGTGCAGGCGTTCTGCCAAAGTCATGCATCCACATCCTGCCCTTAACTCTTTTCTGTTCTACTCTCTAGGAAGTCACGCTGTCTTTGTCTTGGCCTTATTCACAGTAAACGTTTTAAAAACATTCTAATTAAAAAGACAATGTCCAGACTCTCAAATAGACACACAATCAAGCATTTTTATTCCAGTACCTCTCTATCCAAGGTCCTGTCTGCATTTTAGTGACACGTACAGAGAAGCAAAACACACAACATCACACAGAGCATGCCTGCAAATAAAGAAAAGTTCTCACAAAGGACTCACAACACAGAGAAAGATTAGCGAGGGAACAAAAACACTGTTGTTTTCAGTTTGGCCTGACCTTGCTAAGACCAGTTTAATCATTTAAGCATTTTAATGACAAACACACAGGACGAGACGGAAATAAATCTCAAAAAGCTTTCCATCAGTAATGCTTACTACACAGTTTCGTTTCGTTTTCTAATGAACAACATGACATTGATTAGGTTCAGTCGGAGGGCAACTTCTTCCAGGCGTGTCTGTGTCGCTGTCAGATCTGCATCTCCTCATTCATGATGTTTCTGACCCCCTTTCTTAAATGTTTTTCTTTTTGATGCCGTTCAGGTCAGAGTTGATTCAAGTAGTCAAGTGTGTTCGTACAGTCTCATTGGAGAGAGATCGTGAAATCAGCAGCGGACCCTTGGCTGTGCATTAAAGCAGGCTGGGCGTGTTGTTGGTGCAGGATACAGGATCCAGGCTCTGTCGAGCTGCTGAGACACAGCTACTTCCACAGCTTCAACTGCTGCCTGGCTGCAGTAACTAAGCTGATGTTAGTGCGAGATTAGAACACCAGGCCAAGCCTTTATTTTCCCCTAATACATGCATGTATGTGTATATATAAAGTCTGACCTCTTTTCCCTCACTGTCACATCAAAATACAATCAGTACACACAGAGATTAACATTTTCAACTCCCAACAAGTTGATGAAGTTTTGTCAATTTGTGGGACTTTAGAGAAGAGGGCTGTTTCTGAGCACGTTTGGAGCCGAGAAATTCACTTGTCACATGTTTCACTGTCAGTTACTGGGGGTCATAATAAAGACAAGCTGGCATCACAGTCTTTTTTTTTTTAAAGTGTATTTACGTGATCAGGCATAATGTGGGCCACAAATACCAAGCACAGGCATCTGCTCAGTGATTCAGTGCCTTCTTTACAGTGTGATACGAAACAGAAGGAGCCCATTTGAATTAGAAACACATATGTACAGCAATAGACATTTGGGTATAATATAGGATAACCTGATCAAACATTTGCACCACCACAGGGAACAGTTTCTGCAAGAGGCCCGAGTCAGGGACTTGAGAGTGCTACAATAAAGAATGATAATGGCAGAGAAAAATAATGAAAGAGACTGCTGCGGTCGGGTGAAAAAGTTGCAGCTTCGTAATGTTGACAAAGAAGAATATTGAAGCATTTTTGAGTTCATCCAGTCCAAAACTTGTCCAGTGTTCTCCTCCCGCAGCGGCTTTTATCAGCCTTCACACTGGAGGTAATAAATGAAAATAATTATGATTTTAGCTGCAACGTTTTTTACCTGAAAGCATCAGGAAATGCAAAGAAACTTAATGGCTTTGAGGAGACACTGTGATATGCATTGTGTCCACAGTGACAGCAGTGTCATCATGATCGACTGTATCTCTGTGCTGTTGCCACTAGCAACAGGTTTTATCTTAATGTGGCAGCGCTGAGGCTTTCTGCAGTCAGGGGGAATTTTCATAAGAGTCCAGTTTGTTTATCTGAGCAGTCACTGGGCAATTTGGTTTAAAGGCCACATGCTGTACTCTAATGTTTAAAATAGACTGTTTGGATGCATTAGTCTGGCTATGAGCTCTCATGCCGTCGTCCGTGACTGGAGGCACAGTGTTGCCATGGACATGGGGAACCTAAGAAAACATAGATAAGATGAGTGAGACTTGACAGGTCCGATGTGAGGTGTCATCCCCTCAGCTGCGTCCTGTAAACAAAAAGAACAGGGAGTAAAAGGAGATGTGGTGCATCTTTGGCTGAGGTTTGAGCTCTTCCGGGGCGTGGCTCCACAGACGAGAATAAAATGTTCTATGTGTGCTGTAGTAAACACAATCACGTATTCATATCTGGTGGACATGCTTCTGCAAGTGGGTAGCTCTTTGTGCTTTTTTAAAGTCGGAACAATTGTAATGGATGCCACTTTCCACCCAATATGGAAGTAGCATGCATATCTGGTATTCCTTCTTTGCAGTTTCCCTGATTTCCAAACTACACTTATTTTTACCATAAAATATGTGAAATTACAGCAGAAGTTTCAGTAGGTCTGACTAAACATTTGGGAGTCTCTCATGTGCCGATCAGCAGCCTACTCTCCCACCACCAATTTCTCTGTGACACGCTGTTATTCTTCATTTAACTCCCTGTCAGGTTCAAACATCTGCTTTACACTCTCAGTACTTCTCAGCCCAACATCCTTTCTGTCCATCTTGCACACTGATCCCTCTACACCTCCTCTGACCATGAAACACTTTGCCTGGACGCTTACTCCCAGACAGGGCCGGTGAGAGAGAGACACGCCCTGCTCTATTTGCATTTTCACATCTTTTAGTCTATTCGGATTTGGCCCAAATTATCATTCTTTTCTCAACATTTATCAAAGCGCACGGCATTCTTTCTCTTGGCTGTTTGTGCAGATCCAGGACAGGACAGGACAGGATGCCTCCCTCGACAATCCAGGACGATAAACAACAGCACTGGCTGGTGTTACACAATGCTGCGGCCTGTGAGGAGTCTGTCTGTGTCATCTGATCTTGCTGGTTATGCCAAGACTAAAGAGAGAGACAGAAAGAGGAAGAGAGAGAAAGAGAAAGGAGTCAGGGGAAAAAAAAGAAAAAAATGAAAGCAGACAGAGTTAATGTGAAGCTTTGTGTGTGTTTAGATTAGGTGTCACTGCTGATAAATGTAGTTTTGGTTCTCTGAGGTGGTGCTGCGGATCAAACGCACTTGTGTAAGTACAGTAGAGGGGTGAGAAAGGAGAACAAGAGGGCATTTAAAGAGAGAGCTGAGAGTGGGCTTGGCGGCGATCCAGGCTGAGTGAGAGGGGGCACAAAAGAAGCTTGTCAGAAGGTTCTGCAGTTGTTTTTCAGTGTCAAATCGTACCAAGAGCATGTTGCTTTCCACTCCATCCATTTGCATTTGAGGCACGCCAGCAATTCCCCCTTTAGATCAAATTATTTCAGTTAATTTAAAACGATCTGCCATAATGTTCCTTTTGAGATAACGCTGCCACCATATTGGGTCAGAGAGGCCTTTTGCAACAGCTGACTTTCTTCTGTTATGATTTCAAACTCTATCACATCAACAATGGGGTAGCCATTAATCTTTGGTTCCCATACTGAGCCCTGGGAACCACTGGGGGCACTTGGTGGTTTTCCAAGGGCTTGGCACTCTGCATCATGAGGAATTGCTTGATTATATAAATGTTTCTATCATTGGGAGTCTGCACAAATGACCAGATTAGACCACATCTTCCACTACGTGCTTTTCAACTTAAGTTTTAGACAGAATAGTGCAATTCTCTACAAAATCATATCTAATAAAACTTCCTGAGGTCATATCAAAGAAGTGCCTTCGGTCTAAAGCAGATCTCTTCAAGAAGGTTAAATGGGCTTACTGGCATCACCTGCCAAGTGGATTTTTCTAAGTTTGTGGGTCATGGTGAAGTAGAGCACACAACACCCTGCAGCTCTGTTATACCTCGAAACCTGACTAACCCACTTGGTCTTTGCATATAACATGAGACAGAATTTAGATGCCACTGACCTGTTTCCTTGATAAATCCGGCATGACCACAAACAAGTCAAAGGTCCAAAAGTAAATTTAATCCAGATTTGGCTCTCCGTTGGAACAGACCCCACGCAGATGCTGTTGTGGCGCCCAAATGTTCTCTGTGGTGGTGCTTCTTTCTTGTTCTCTCTCTTGACATTTTGTGCCAGTCTCCCCACCCCGCAATCAGGTCCCCTCTATCTAGAGCGTCTTGCGCTTGGGGAAGATGGCTTTTCGAAAAGACGTGGTGGTGGTGCCTCTGCTGAAGGAGGCTCCCCCCAGGGCGATCTTGGTCTTTCCGCTGGTGATGGTGGAGGAGCCCAGCGATGTCGTGCTCCTGCCCCTGGTGATGGAGGAGTTCCCCATTGCAAGCTTGGACTTTCCCCTCTTTATGGTGGTGTTGCCCAGGGTTAAGGCCGTCTTCCCCTCGGTGAAGCTGGTGTTGCCCATTGAGGAGAAGCTCGTCTTCCTGACCCAGATTCTATGGCGGGGTTTGGGGCTCACTCGACACAAAGCATCGCACACTCATGCAGCACGTCCTGCTCTGCCCCTCGGGGGTAATAGTAACATCAGCTACAATCCAGAGCAGACCAGAATGCTAAGCGTGGATAGCGCGACCCCCATGTCGCATAATGCCTTCGTTGAGATGATCAACGTGGGCTTTGGAAGGCCACATACCACCCATGTGTCCCTGTGAATGGACAGAGGCAGCCGTAGGTGGCCACAGCCTATCTGGGGGGACAGGGACAGTGGAGCGATTGTCCCATCTCCACGACGACACCAGACGGTTGAAGGACACATTGTTGCAAAGCGGGCAATCTGTGGTGACATCACTTTCTTCTGAGCCATTGTTCCCTATAGCCTCTGATTGTAAGACATAGCCTCTATGTACGACTGTATATACCATATGTGCATTGAGCTGCACAGTGTCAGATTTGATAAGAAAAAGTATAAATGCATTCATGTTCTCCACATGTCGTTGAGGCTTTGATTGCACCCCTCCTGTATTTGTGTCACCCCTCCATGTGAAATATGGGTGTGGTTCCTTCAGTCGGTGTTTACTACCCATATGTGTCCTTGCTGAACTGTTTTCAATTCATTACAGCATTTGAGTCTTTAATTTCTACCATTTGTGTCTTTAGATGGCAGAATATCTCACAAAAACTAGATTAATTTACAAAACAATCAAGCCAAGCAGTGTTTAGACATGTTACTTTTATAAGCATCGTTACATCAACCAGCTTTTACAGTCCCAAAACTGTTTTTTTGGTGGCAGCATAGTTATGGAAATGCAGGCAATCAACCAATCTTATCAGCATGCACAAAAATACCACATTTGTACCAAAGATGTCGTCATGTTGACGGCTGTACATGCACAATATACAGGAGAACAGTGCTGATGAAAAACACACACACTCTCTTGTGTCTCCACATACATCCCACACGGCTGTTTCACACTTTTCCCTCCCTGCCAAGTCGACACACCATAAACCACCATCTCATCACTGTCACATTTGCATAACGCGCTCAGCATGGTTTTGGAATTTCTCACTGATGATTGCAAACCCCATCAGATCTGCAACTCACTTAGCATTTTGTTGCTTGGGAATCCACCTTGTGCATACACGTAACAGATGATGTCGTGCCACATTGACCTGTACACACAAACTGATCACAAACACACTGTAGCAGCTCTTTTTTATTAACTCTTGACACTACTGACCTGCTAAAACTGACCCAATAGAAATATCCTTGGGTTTTTAAGTGTGTATAGGAATCATGTGTGAAAATCCCAGTAGATATTGCTGTGCCTCTCTTTGCCCCTGATGAGGATGGTTTTGACCACTGACACAGACTTGGTCCCATGGGTGAAGGTCACAGTGATGAGAGAGGTCGTGGTCTCCCCTCGTGTGACAGAGGTTTCGCCCACCGCTATCTTGATGTTGCACAAAGTTATGGTTGTTCTGCTCCAGGAGATCGAGGATTTACCCCAGGAGATGGCGTACTTAGTCCTCAGGATTGAAACCCTTCCTTTGGTGAAGGAGGTCTTGCTTGACGAGAATGTGGTTTTCCACTCATTGTTAGAGTCTTTTTTGGACTGCTTTGCTGCTTTGGGTGTCTTAGTCCTTGCTTCAGGGGTGTTTTCCATCTAGGTGTTCCTGCGCTTGCCCGTCAAGGCTTTGCGGAAGGAGGTGGTTGTGGTTCCCCGGCTGAAGCTGGCCCGTCCCAGCGCTACAGTCGTCTTTTGCCTTTGGATAGTGGAGTCTCCCATGGAGGTGGTGGTCACTCCCCTGAAGATGGAGGACTTGCCCATGGCTACAGTAGTCTTTCCCCTGGCTATGGAGGTGTTTCCCACTGCCAGGGCAGTCTTGCCCTCTGTGATGCTAGTGTTGCCCATCGAAGCAGTGGCAGTCAGCCCGAGCCCGTGCTTGGATGCCGACTCCTAACATGCAAGCTGCATAACTGCCTGCAGTGCAGCAGGGTCAAAAGCCAAACTAAAGCTGCAGCAGCAGCTGCCCTAAATAGATCAGACCACCATGTAAAGATGAGGGGGAGGGAATTATTTGATCATGCTTTGATGCTGGCCGGTCCCTCAGAGAGACGAGACCCAAAGGGACCTGGAAGCACAGCGTGCACAAAGGCTGAAAAGACAGGGGGTTAATTGTGTTGTTTTCATGATAGCACTGCCAAAGCACTGAACGGGTACATTGTGCAGTACACAAGACAATTGGGGTGACCTCAGTATGATAAGATGGCGTGGTTCCCAAAAAAGAAAAAAAGAAGCCCTCCTCCCCGCTATTGTTGCAGGGTTCAAATACAGTAGTACATTTGTCTGCTTGGGTACAGTACACGGCTGCATTTCAGCAGCTTGTGCAGCATACAACCAACAGAAAGTTCAAATCCTTCACAGATGGAGAGTAGAATGTTTTTCCATTGAGTTGTCTTGTGTTTCTCTAATTCCTCTGTCTCTGTGTGCTTCTATTTCAGATTCTCTGTGAAGACTCTCCTAGAAAAGTACACAGCAGAGCCCATAGATGACTCATCCGAGGAGTTTATTAACTTTGCCGCCATTTTAGAGCACATCCTCAGCCACCGCTTCAAAGGTAACACTGCAGGTAACATATAGCACAGGAAGAGATGGACAGATTGGTTTATATGGCATTGAATGTATGAATTAGACTGTAAAAAACTAGATAATACTGCAGACCATTAAACATGGAACAAAATAGTATAAAAAGAGTAAAAACCTGTATGATAATTGTTCACAGTACTGTTGCCGTGGTTGCATGCTTGCAGTGTGGGCTGTTGTCAGAGCAGAAGTAATCTTGTTTCTGTGTTTTAATCTTGGACCAGGTTCAGGAAGCTGGTTCAGCTCAGATGGACAGCGCAGTTTCTGGGAATATATCCGGCTGGCGTGCAGCAAGGTGCAGAACAACTGCATCGCCAGCATCGAAAACATAGAGAATATCAGCACATCACGAGCCAAGGCAAGGATATGTGTATGCAGAATTGTGTGTATTTGTGTGTGATACTGCATTAGGGAGCAGCAAAGAAAGCCCTCTGCTCTTGCTCACTTCTTACGTTGTCCTACAGGGGCGCGCATGGATTCGGGTGGCGCTGATGGAGAAACGTCTGTCTGAATATGTGTCCACTGCACTGAGGGACACAAGAACAACCAGGTCAGACTCATGATTTTAAGGGACAGTTAACACATATCTGATATTCCTCATTTTAGCCATGTTTGTCTGCACATTCTAATCACTCAGTTTAAGAGTAAAAGACAAAAGACATTATTTCTTTGCACCAGAGGAACGTATATTCCTGCTACAGATTTTTAACATCAAATATAACTATGTATATGAAATGCAAGTAGAATCACTGTTGTGTCAGTATTATATCTGGAGGTTCAGAGATGATAACCACTTCTTCACCTGACAGGAGGTTCTATGATGATGGAGCCATTATGCTGAGAGAGGAGGCCCAAGTCCTAACCGGCATGCTGATCGGACTGAGTGCCATTGACTTCAGGTGAAGACACACACCGCAGACTGCAGGGGTCTTAGGGCCCGTGTACACCAAAGAATTTTTCCCGAGGCCAGTGTAATTTTAAAAATTTAATGGGTGCTTCGTGTATTTAGGCTACACTACAAATGCCGGCAGTGTGATGAGGCACTGAGTGTCTATTCTACACTGAGCACCCAGAGCTGAAGAAAAATATTCCACTTTGGGTAAAATGCTGTGCTCGTTACTGTCACTTTTTACCCAGCCATTCAGTCGCAGTGGAGGAGGGGCAGGACAAATAGCACAAAGACCAACTGTCACATCTTACATGTGCAGGTGCTGAACAACAACAATGGAGGAGAGATGTGTTGATATACTGTATATATATTAAAGGATAAATTTGGCTTTTTTCAACCTGGACCCTATTTTCCCATGCCTATGTGTCTAGGTGATTGATGTAAACTATGATGTAAATTGGTTCAGTATTGAGCTGGACAGCAGCAGCCAGGCAGTTACACAACAGCCACAATGTAAGCATATGGGGCAACTGAAAACCATCACTGTATGTCCATTAGAAGTGGTTATTTTTGACACAGACAGGCTCAGATTGTTAGTATATATGTAATATATTTTATTATATTTATGCCTACATTTGCCCTTCCTATATATCAAGGAGATACCTACGGGCAAGAATGATGATGGCTATGTTAGTTATTTTAGGAGCATTTACACAGTCTTTGCTAATAAGATAATAATTTTTCATTCCCACAGCAGGGACATTTGCAGTGTCACAGCAGCAAAGGGGATGGTTTAATAACAAGAAACATCAGCAAGATATAATGAATATGTAAACAGTAAAATAAAACTTCTGGTGCCTTTCTCTGTCTGCTCTTCATGCATATACTCTGGCTTAAATAAATACGGACAGCGATCAAATTCAAAGGCCTCATCGTCATTGTTGCATTGGGTAAATAATCATCCATGACACTGAAAATCTTTCAGATAACACTAAACTACATTTGCTGTAAACAACTGTGGTCACCATACTCTCCAAATCTCACACATTTCCACAAATTGGATCAAGTGAAAGGTAAAGAAACACTTCAGCAGCTTATAATAACAGTTTGAGCTGGTCTGTTTAAAAAACAACCACTTCCAATGGAGACACAGTGACAGTGCTCAGTTGCCCC